AGAACCAAAAGCTTAGGGAGTTTGTGAAGAGGATTGGCTCCAGAAGCAAAGTGTTAAGATCTAGTCTTGAAATACCAAACATAACCGGTGTTAAAAGTTCTCTTTAGTGAATATGGCCAGTTATCTGAACCATTGTTACCTGGGCGAAGTGCCCATTATTATAATGTAATGCCCCAAAATGACAGAAGTATTCATTGTTTACCACATACAAACAAAGCAACTTATTTTCTAAAGTTAATAATTAGGATGCAACTGCTTCTAACAGAACAGTGTTTTAGGAATGTTGGTTTTTTCCCTGCAACCCAGTCAGCACAATCTCACACCCTCACACCTGGTTTGAAAAATACCTGGTAGTGTTTTTCCTCCTCAGCCGGACTCCAGGACCCATGCGATATTGGCTTGTATTGATTCCTTTGGGGAACATGAGCTTTACCCATTTAACATACATCATGTAACTGTGTTGCCTACACAAACACTCAATGTACACTGATGCAGGGACAAAATATAACAACATGTTCAGAAAATTCATTGTATTTCCTCATTGTCATCCAGGATCTTCTCTCTTATTCAGTAAATGTAATTCTTAGAATTTCTATGCGTAAACAAGCTTCACTGAGGGCTTAACTTAGGGGTTCATCTTGGGGGTTTGCATGACTGATCAAAATGTCTTTGACTGTGCAGAGCTCATCACAGAATACCACTCAGCATGCTAGTGATCTTTTCTTCCTTCACGCAGTGTGGAGTGCTAGTGTATTGGACTTTTTCTGGCTTTCACCCTCATAAACAGAATTTATTAGATCCTACCAAACTTTCTATTGAGAACTGAGCTGCATGCTGTGCCTTGGTTACTTCACTGCATTAATCTGAATGTCTGTCCTGAGATTTTTTGCGTATTCACGTTTCTGTGTGTTTCTTCCTGTGGAAAAGAAATCTTTAGAGATAGTCTGTGTATTTAATTGAACCTTGGAGTTTAATTATATGAGCGTGAGTATTTCTTTCTCTCTGATGCACCATGTTTTGTCATGCAGAAGTATATAATTGCCAAAACACTTCAATATAGAATTTGGAAATGAAAATCAGTGTAATTCTTTATTATACGTATAATCAAGCATTTGCTTAGGTTCATATGATTCTTCAGGCCAAATTCTGACCATAGCTGTGGTCCTATGTTCTGATACCTATCAGCAGAATCTCTATGCGAATGTGGAACTTCAGTATTAACCTGAGATCAGATTGCAGGGCTTTTACATGGAAGCCTGCTAAAGTCTCTGGGAACTCACCTACAAAAGAGGTTAGGGGTTCCACTGTGGAACAAATCCATGCAAAATATAGGTCAGTGCAGCTCCAGTGACTTGAAAAATCTGTACTGATATATACTAGGTAAAAATCTAACACCACATGCCTGGGTCATGCAGTAGTACATTGTAAAACTAAATATTTTCTACTTTGTTCCACTTATATTAATAAGCAGTAATCTTTTCAATATACCATTCTATGATCTATGATTCTTTTTTAACATTTGGCTTTCATAGTGAAGTCTTAGATAGATTTTTACTATTAAATGTTGTAATATCAATTTCAAGTGAAGTTAGTAATATGATTTGGGTATCAATATTCTCTGAAAATCATCATCTCTGAAAAAAGGTAGAAAAGTACTCCCATTTTAAGTCACTCTAACTCAAGACTGAGTTCAGAATTTGAATATCAAGTAAGTTTGCTCCTAGGAGCCACTGTTAGCTGGTGCAGTGAAACCCATACGGTCTATTGGTTAAAAGCTTCATGCAGAACTCCATATTACAGTATACAAATGAGCATGTGTCTTCCCTTCTTTACAAGTATACTTTTTGCACTCCACTAATGGAGTTAAGGAGGAAGTTTATTACTATAGTTGATAACATCTATTCTGGTTCAGTAGGAACTTAACAGTACTCAATGCAAAAGAAAGCAAAGAATGAAAATAGAAGAGAAAAAGAGGCTCATTGATTACTTCTATCTTAGTCTTACACCTAATCCAAAGACAGGGTTTTAATTTTAAAAATAGATAATTCCCATTATTTGCTTGCAATGTACACAAATGTGTTATATCTATGTTCTTCTAAAATTATTCCTAAGTATCACTCAAAAGAAATGCCCTTGAGTTACAAAATACTGTATCCAGACATTGCCCCTGGTCAGAGGAGATAAAATCTAGTTGTTCAGAGACTTTCCAGTTGAATCAATTTCCATTCATAGCTAAGAATTTGGATTCACTCTCTTAGCAACAAACTCTGCCTGACATAATCTTGCAACCCAGACACAGGATACGTATATGGCACTGACATACATTCCATTTCTTGTGGGAATTGTACTTATGGAGACACAACCTCGTAGGAAATGTGTTACGTTGCAGAATACTCATTATAGCATCAGGTAGCATTCTGAAATCATTATTCTTTTTCAGCTGTGTAGGGTAATTAGTGCACTTGCCCCAGTGTTTTACCACTACAATTCAACCTCTTCAGAGTAGTATTTCAGTGATGAAGAGGAAAGAACCACCCTGATCTCCCTATACTCTCAGCTTTTCCTCTTTTCTCCTGGTAATCATTCCATGTACTAACTGCTCTTCCTCTCTCTGTGGCAGCCTGAAACATTTGGCTTGCAGTCTTCAAGAGGATGTGTTCCCTGCAACTGCAACTCTTTTGGTTCCAAGTCCTTCGACTGCGATGGAGATGGACAGTGTTATTGCCAGCCTGGAGTGACAGGAAAAAAGTGTGACCGCTGTGCTCATGGATTTTACAACTTTGAAGAAGGAGGCTGTACTCGTATGTAAATTCTTTGCAGCCAATTGCAAATTTACTTATTTGTTTGTTTATTTATTACTAAGAGTCGAGTTTGGCTGGTTTTGGATTGCCTGACAAATTTTCCTGACAGATAGGTATTTTCATAGCCCTGTAAATCGGTCAATTGGCAAGGATGGTGGTTGGCGAGAACAAAAGACACAAGCAATTCCTGCTATTTTACAGTTGGTTTGTGGCTAATCTACTACATTTAGAAGGAACAGGAACATCCTTTTCTCCAAGTACTTTCTCCCAAAAAGGTTTCTATGAAGTTCCTATAATTTAGTTATGGTAAGAGTATCATAGAAGGCTTTTTAAGGTACTTGCCAAATCACATCAGTTTGAAGGGACGGGAATGGAAAGAAAAAGAAAAAAAAATCCCTGTGTTTCTAGTTTTGCCTCAAACCTTTTCACTGTCCTTACGTGGTTCATTTTTTATTAAATTTCTATACAGTAATATTCAGAATCTTGCTTACTTGTATACTTTTTGTGTACTACAAGATCTTCAGATAAAATTGTCTACCATGTCCCTTGTGTAAACACATGAAAAGTATGCTTTTCTAGATGCTGGAACTCTAGCATCAGACAGAAATATATCCAGCCACTTCTTTACATTCATGTTTGTCCTTTTGGACATTAGGTCAAACACTGAAATGAATGCCTCCTGTCCTTAAAGCAGTACAGACTGCTACATTGAAAAGAACCTAATCAATAGGTCTCTTCACAGGGAAATATCCATCTTTGCTAATAGAACTGTGTTGTTAAAGTCTCATAGACTCATTTGGGTGTGATCACGGGAGACGTAGATAGTTGTCAAGTGCGGCTGGCTCCCGGGATGCTAGAATGGCGATGCCTCCACAGCATTCTTTGCTGATGGTAGCATGCTACAAAGCCAGGGATATTGCTGATACTCTTCAGGCAGAAGCTGTATTCTTTCCAGAAGCAGAAATCACCATGCCTGTTGTCCTGTTTCTCCTTGTTTCCCTTCTGGAACAGCCACAGAAGCAGCAAGCTTAGCTCTCTGCCTTTTTTTCCTCCCCCTTTTTTTTTTTTTTTGGTGTGTGTGTAAGGAGCATCAAGGCCCCGAGACCCACATCTGTGCAGCAAAATTCAATTTCACCTGTGTGCTGATAAACCTCGAGCCAGGCTGGATTATAGATCATATTTGAAAACATTACTTTGTGGTGTTGTCTCCCATGGGAAGGAAGGGCTCAGGAAATGTTTACCACCTTGAAAAGTGCAAACATATTGGCACCTTGGAAAAAGGAAAGATTGGTTCACAGGCTCACCGATGAGAGAGTATGAAATCAGATGCAAATGATAACTGCAGTCCTAGAGCCCTTAGCACGTATACAGAGGGGAAAAAATGCTATAGCTTATCTTCATGATTAGTCTCTTATTCTAACATTTCACTGTTTAAGAGGACATTGATATTGTGAAATGCTACAAAATGCTGTTAATTTCATAAAGTTGGGGAAGGAAAATGAGAGGGCAATTAAGAAAATTTCACATTAAAATTTTAAATGCTCTCTTGGCAAACTGGAAATGACACAGTTTAAGGAACAGTGATGAAATGGGAAAGTAGTGTAAATCCAAACAATATTTTAAATAGAAATGTATCTGTCTGTGGCCATCAATTATTTTAAATAACCGCAACAGCTAAAAATGTTCAGAAAATTCAGGGTTTTAAAAGTTCCAAAGTTAATACAACAGATGGAGAGGAATTCTGTTTTCAAAATGCTGTTTTTTCCCCACTTATTTTTAGTGAGCTTTTTATGTATTCCTTCAAATGGCAAAAAAAAAAAAGAATTAAATTATGAATCACAGAGAAAATCAGAAATTTAATAAAAGTATATCAAATCGTGCTAGGAAGAAAGTGCAAAAAAATGAATTTCATCATGACAGTTAAGTATCGAATAAAATATTGGACCTCTTTTATCTAGCTTTCATCCAAAAGGAATATAATTTGATTTTTTTCTTGTGCAATAAAAAACCATAAAGCCTAAAAAAAACCCTAAAGCATCATCAGTTAGTGTTGACATTCTAGCAGCAATAATACAAAAGAGATTTCTATTTCACTATTGCTTGCAACAAATGTGTTGTATTTTTTCCGTATTCTTTTTAATAATGATAAAAGTAAAAATGCAAAAAATATCAGTGCATCACTTTCTTCCCCTCCACACCTTTTGAACCAATTTTGTGTAATAATTGGAAGCCGATGTATGAGCTGTGACATCTGAAACCCTCAGTCTCTCAAGGAGAGATGTCTTCTGGAACATCTTCAAGCCACAGTGTGTCAAAAGATTTTATGTAGCATGCAAAATGTCTTGTTCCTGGCATGATGGAGGTAAAACTTACTATCTTCTTTGCATCAGTTACCTTATTTTAAAAGCATTGGTGGGGAAAAAATAAAGAACACTTCTTATTTGAACTATAGATGTGAGTTCTACCTTTGCACATCTCTTACCTTCTATTTTTACTCTGAAGTGTTTCATACAGTAAAGGCAACGAACATAAATACAGTCTTCAGCAATGAATGTTATGTCACACTACCCTATAAACACCCCAAGGAACAGATTATCACTCCGAGAGTCATAGTTTGCTTATGATGCTTTTGCTCTGACGTCAGGGGTGATGGTGGTGGTGGGTATGAAAATAACCATGCACCAGTTCTGCTCCTCCAAGCAATTAGGTGTCTCGTGCCCCATAACTACTTATCACTTACATACCTTGAATCTGCGTTTGCCACCAATGAGTTCTTCACTTAATAATGCTTTAAAAGCAAAGACCGCTTTTGGAACCATTTCCAAAACCAAAGTAGTTTTAATGGAATAAAATCTGCAAAGAATCCTAGTTTCCTGTGAATAACTGAGAGGTCACTGTACGGTAAAGGCTTTGGCCGAATGATCCTAACCCTGTTAGGGTCTGCTCTCCAGGTGTCACATAAAGGGGTAACTTTTCCTATGCTTTATTTTTCTCTATCTCCCATGAAGCCTGTGAGTGTTCGCATTTCGGTAATAACTGCGATCCCACCAGTGGCCGCTGTATCTGCCCTCCCAATACAGTTGGAGAGATGTGTGACAAATGTGCAACAAATTACTGGGGCCATGACCTTGTCAGTGGCTGCAAGGTGAGTGGATCTCTGTTTTCTCTGTGTGTGTTACCTCTTTCCCATGGGGTAAATACAGTAATTTGTAGCTGGAACACAATTTTAGTTTTGTAAATCATGGTTTGCGTCTGCACTGAGGGTTTTGGTGTCAGACTGTGATGTAAATGTTGGCGATATCTTACTGAGCACTACAGATCCTCTGTCTCAGGTATGCAGCCTGTAGCACCAAACACCCTGTTTGTACTGTTCCCATGCTGAGTCAGTGTCTTGCTTGAGCCTGGTTTCTTTTATTATAGCTGTGTTTAACATGACTGAGGAGATTACCATGTTATTATACAATGTATATAGATGTATAGTTGCAGGTAACTGACAGTGCCTTTGCAGAACAGATTTACTTTGGCCCTAATTATGATACCACTGGGAATTTGTACTTGAAGTTTACTTGAGTAGGGCTTCAACTTGTGCATAAAAGACAGTGAAAAGAGAAGAAAAGAAACAGCCACCTTAGCTGTAAAATGCACTTTCTTCCTATGTTCTTAAAGTGGAAATGAACCTTCTCATTAGTCTTTAAATCCTTCTTATTCCAGTGTTTGACACAGTTAAAAAAAAATCTGCAGGGGAGGAAGAAGGGAGAAGAAATAAGAAAACAGTGATATTATGTCAGAGGCCATGAAAGCCGTTGTTAATGTCCTCCTCTTGAGTTAAGGCGAGCAGTATTTGGTTAAGGTTGAAAACTCGTGACAGTGAATATTGTGCAAAGTTCAAATGCCTTCTCCTCTCTGCCGTTCTCACTGATGATGAGGGATTTATAGCACTGCTGCAATTACTCCAAAAAACTGTCTTCTCTGAACATGGTCATACACCATTAATGCTCTTTCTAAAAAAGCTGTTTGTCATGTAGCTCAGGCTGCAAACTAATTATCAAGACTGATTTATTTTTTGTATGTATGGAAAACTCCTCTTGTGAAACCTCCGCTGTGCTGCTGTGATATAGACTCTTGGCTTCTGAAACCAGCCTAATGAGGTTGAAGACCTCTGTTTGAGCTCTGGAGTATATTCTCTGATTGTCTTTTATGTGAGTGCATTAGTATGGCAGTTCCATGGCACCATCTAAATTAATAATGATCTATCAGCCCACATCTCTTTCAGTATGTTGCAGCTAATTTCTGCAAAGTGAGATGTGAATCTCCTGCTCGCACTTTTTGTAGAAGATTTCCAGGGCTGTTGTAACTCAGGGGGATAGAGAGCATTGAGTAAAACTGCTTGCTCGCAAAACAAACGTAACATCTGGTTGTACTTCAAGTTTTGATATGGCACACCAAGCTATTTCCATGTATGGTGAACAATTTGCTTTCTAAGCTTTATGTTCAAATTTACCTTTTAGAATAAGGTTTTTTTTCTGTCAGAAGGTTTTATTTCTTAGGCTAGGTAGAAGTCTAGCAGTCTAACATTTAACTGGTAGTTAAATAATTTCTCTGGCATTCAGTAAAGATTGAATTTGAATGTTTCCTCTAGATAATCATCTTCTTCATAAATGGTCTTTTCAGATCAGAGATAAGGTGCTTTAAGTATTCATGTAATAAACAGTTTTGCTTAGAACCTGAAGCCACCTTTTCCTCCCCCCTTTTTCAGCTTTGCGTCCTTAATTTTAGCAAGTCCATCCATGTCAGTTACTGTGGTAACTTGTACTACTGGCACTGAGTTTGCTTCTGCAAGCTGAGCTTCTACATACGAGATTCTGGTCGCGCCAGTGATCACAGCCAACGTCCTGTGCTAACTTTGCAGTACAGTCACAGTAACAGCACTGAGGGATTCTTTTGTTCTTCAGAAGCCTCCAGCTTTCCCTGCTACTTACTTCTGTAGTCAATATCTAGACCCCCTGGCAAATCATCTATTTCTATTCTTACCTGCCTCGCAAGTCTCATTCTGTGGCAAGTTTACTTCCCGGTACACCACATGACTAAATCTCTATCCCTTACCGTGTAAATTACTGGCATCTAAGAGTCTTGTTTGTACAAAGAAGATAGTTGCCTGTCTGGTGCATGAGTAATAAACATTGAGCTAGATTCCACTGGGACCACTGCCCCTGTGCAATTCCAGTTTTAGCAAAGTGGTCTGAACATGCCTTGCAGAGGATTTACATAGAAAGCACTTTTTAGACAGTACTCACTGGTTTTAAGTTAATTTTGTCTGCAAAGTATCCCAGTATCTTGACACTTTTGGATTTATTTGATTTCACTGCCTAACTTATCAGTGATAAGTAATATCTGTTCAAAAAGAAAAGTGTGTTGTAAATGTATTTAGTGTAATTGCTTGACCTTTGTTGAATAAAGATAAATTTCTAGCCTTATAACTCAAATATGTTACCTTTAGACAGTGGAAATTCACTGCTGTACTTTATTTATAGATACTTGAAAAAGGTGAGTTGCTTTTTTGTTGAGCTTGTTTGGTTTTGTTTGTTTGTTTTTCAGAAGCACAATTGCAATTTTCTCCTTGTTTCTCTCCTCTTTAGCCCTGTGACTGCAGCCTCATTGGAGCCCTGAGTTCTCAGTGTGACTTAAATACAGGCTGTTGCTTCTGCCGCCCTGAATTCTCTGGGGATAAATGCACTGAGTGCAGGTTGGGTTACTGGAATTATCCGCGATGTGTTGCTTGTCAGTGCTTCCTGGCAGGGACCGATCCACAGAGCTGTGATACAGAGCTGGGGAAGTGCTCGTGCATTGATCATACTGGCCAATGCAGCTGCAAGGTAGGACAATGAAGGCTGTAAGCTGATGTTATAACTGCCAAGAAGTTTATTCTGAAATTCATTGACATTTGTACTGGCCTGTTCCAACAATATATGCAAAAAAAAAAAATCTAGTTGGTTTTAATAGTGCATTTGCTCACTGCTGTGGGAGGAGTTTAACGTAAAGACAGGCTTAAGTGCTTTTTGGTTGCTTTTTCACACACTACCACTTGCCAGAATAGCATCCTCTTAGGCGCTCTTCTCTCTTTGTATTTCTTCCTGTCCTTACAGAAATGTTTCCAGTTTAACCCCATTCAATACAATTCTTGTTGAGGTATTTGGCAAATTAAAAGCAAACATGTCAGTAATAATAGTATGCCACAGTGCTAGTTCTTTACAGTACATTGGCTTAGAGAGAGTAAATATTGATCATTTTATGAGTAGAATTCACTGCAGTAGTATCCGTTCTTCTGGGTAGACTGCATCCAATTCAGGATCACTAAAGCAAAGACTTTCGGCATCGTCAGCCACAGCGTTCTTTTTTGGAATTGGTTTTGAAAGAACAGCACACAGGTGGTTTGAAAATTGGCTGAATTGTCGGGCTTAACGGGCAATAATTGGTGGTTTGACACATAGTTTTGTAGGCAGCAAGTAGAGTACCCCAGAGCCAATATTTTCATCAGTGACACAGATGACAGAATTCACCATCAGCAGATTTGAGAATATTTCTGATTTGGAGGAGATAGAGCGTGTCAACATGCTTGAACAGCAGAACTACAATCTAGAGGGTCCTTGAAAAGCTTCATGATTGGGGGTGGTCATGAATCTGAGTGGAATAACTTCAAGAATCAGTACTGTTTGGGAGGAAAAAGGCTGAGTGTACGGAATATGAGCCAACCGTGTACTCTTATTGTAAATAAGGCAAACTGCCCACTGAGCTGGATGCACAGATCACACTGGTCAATGCGGCTGCAGGGTAGGACATCATGAAGAACATGCCCAGCAGAGGAAAGTCTTTATCCCTCTCTACTCAGTGCTGGTAAGACTGCACTTGGAAATGGTGTCCAGTTTTAGGACCTGATTCAAGAGCGTTGTTGAGAAACTGGAGAGGATCCAGAGAAGGGATATAAAGAGACTTAGAGCAGATGATCTGTAAAGATATACTGAGAAAGCCAGACTCTTTTAGTCTGCAAAAAATAGAGGCTGAGAGAAAATGCAGTTGCAGCCTGTAGCCACTTCAAAGAGTAGTTGATGGAGTCAAGTCCTTTCTGGTAGTAGCAAAAGATGTGACAAGGGGCAACAGCTGCAAATGGCAGCTTAGGAATTTTGGGTTGGACGTTAGGAAAAAAAAAAAATCATGAGGAGTGTTATGCAGCACTGGAACAGATCATCCAGAAAGGTTGTGAAATCCCCATTCTTGGAGGTTTTCAAGAACTGACTAACAAAAAGGCATGGGTAACCTGATCTAGTATTGGCGATAGTCCTGCTTCAAGGAGGAGGTTTTTAAAAGTGACCTCTAGAGATTCCTACTGTGATTTTGATTCATTCTTTTTCAGGGACTCTATTGACACAAAGAGCTAGTAAAATGGAACGATCAATTTAAATAATTGAATTGCCAGGTAATTATTTTGTTAAATGGGCACCAGTCGCTTCATTCTGAGTTTAAAGGATAGAGTCAATGGAGGAACTGTAGAACAAATTAGATTGAAGGGGACCTATGGAGGTCATCTTGTGCAGCACCTTGTTTGAAAGACATTGCTGAGGCAGTACGTCCAAGGATGGGGATTTCACAGCCTCTTACTGCAAACTGCTTGACTACCCTCCCATTTTTCTGGTATTTATATATATATGACTGAAAACATCATGTGCTATTTCACAAATACTGATTCATTTGATGGTGAGACCATAAAAAAACTAAAGTGAGTGAATTGGTCACATGGGCCATCTGAGTAAAACTCAGCCTAATGATCAGTGTTATTTGTCCTGTGTTATTCTTCAAAATGGAAAAGTAGACGTATCTCAGTTCTTTCAGCCTCTCCGGATACGTGATGTGCTCCAACCCCTCCAACCATCTTGGTGCCCCTTTTCTTGACTAGCTCTAGTGTGTCAATGTCTTTCTTGTAGCTCTTGTAAGAACTAAGTAGAAAGAATGGGGGGTTATGGCATTTTTAAATAGAAATGTTTCTTTGTTGGTTCTTTTAAGGCTAATATAGTTACTACTATATTTCTGTTCCTGCAAATTAACAGTGTATATTTAGCTGGTGATTAATGATAACAAGCTGCAATTGACATGAAACAAAATGCAAAGCAAGTAAAATTCACAATTTATGACAGAAAATGGAAAAATAGTACTGTGTTAAGTCAGCAGATTTTTTTTTTCCCCAGAATTTAAATCTAAAGTTATATTTAAATCTAGGGTTGGTTAACCTTTTGTGTAACTTTTTGGAAAAAGTTATAAATTGAAGAAGCGAGATTTTTATAAAACGATAATCGTTCCTATTTAAACTTGCTGTTATAGCTGCAGAAATCAGTTTTCAAAGGCTCAGGAGTCCCTTTGTCAGCCCTCACAAAAAGCAGCAAAATATAAGCTAAATACAGCATAGGCACATTTGCTGATAGGGTTACATGTAGAAATGAAGGTTAAAAACGGTAAATCCTCAGGGATATTGTTAGTTTCCTGTATAAGCTTTGGAAAGTTGAATTTGTTTTTTAGATTGGCTTCTTCACATTATTCTCAAGAGAAAAAAACATGGGGTGTGAAAAAGCCAACCAGTGCTTTCATGTTGATGATTTTTTTTTTTTTTTTTAAATACCTTGGTCTCAGTATGAAAATGGCTTTAAAAGGCTATGCATAAATTATTGTGTATCCAGCCCTATCTGGTATAGCTTTTTATTTGGACTAATTGAAAAATGAAAATAAAAGCATTGACATTACAACAGTGAAACATTTCAGCCTTGTTAATACTGTTCAATGATGTGGAAAACAATCACGAAGAGGGGAAAGCTTTTCTCTACAATATTTCCATTAAAATATGTCACCAGGAACATTTAGTATGGTACCTTAAAACATTCTAACTTGTCAAAGCTAATTCCTATTAAACAAAAGGCTTTATTAACCCTGGCAATTTCAGAAGGATATATTTTTTCTTACCTTATCAATCAGTTATTGAGCACGTCATGCCCAAAGTGCCATTTGATTTTTCTGTGCTTACAACTGTCGGTATGAAGCCAGCATCCATTGCTTAGAGCTACTCAGTGGATACAAATGCAAATGCCTCAATTACATTAATTGTGTATGTTTGCATACGCACATGATAAGCTGGAAAGTTCCTTGAATATTTCCTTACATTTACTGTTATTTCTTTCTGCACCCTGTTATTATCATTACTGTATGATTTTCTTTTTCTTATTACTACCTGGAAATAAAGCTTGCTTTTTTTTGGGTTGGTTTGTTTTTTTGGGTTTTTTTGTTTGTTTGTTTGTTTGTTTGTTTTTGTTTTAAATATTCTATCTCTTCCAGGTCAATGTGGAAGGTGTCCACTGTGACAGGTGCAAGTCTGGTACATTTGGTCTCTCTGCCAGAAACCCACTTGGCTGCAGCAGTTGCTATTGCTTTGGCCTGACTACACAGTGCAGTGAGGCAAGGGGGCTGATTCGCATGTGGGTGAGTAGGAAACTGCTGAGCCATGTAATGCAATAATGTTGTTTCCTGCTGGCATCTTTTAGTCAGGCACTGAGAGGTAGCTAGAAAATGGCCAAACATTTTAGCAATCATTTTCCTCTTTATACTTTGAGAAGTGGAGACAGCGGTATGTTCCATTAAACAATAAGGGTCAAGGCATTAAAAGTAAATAAGAAAGATAAGAAAACCAGTGATAGGATAGCTAACATCAAGCCAAAGTAAAGTTATTAAAACCCAGGGAAGGGGAAGCTAGTTGTGTGGGGAAATTATGCAGTCGAGTGCATTGTAACATAATCTTTGGTATGTGAAACATGGTTTACCGAGATGTATTCAAGCATCACAGATACTTGTTGTCCAGTATACATTTCCCGTAGTTCAATTAATCTGTTTATTTTCATTGTTTTGTTTTTGGTTTCTGTTTTGGTTTTGGGGTTTTTGGTTGGGTTTGTTGTTTTTTTTTCATTTAAAAAAAAAAAAAAAAGCTTATTAAAGCTCTATTTAAATCCAAGAATGGGAGGGTATAATCTACCAGAGCAAACAAAACGCTCTCTGCCTTTTTGTGGAAGAGGGCCTCAAGACCTATGCTGGACTGACAAATGAGGCAGACTGGACGTCTCCATTTATCTACACGAGCGCAAAACACACATTGAGACCACTGCTGTCCATTGCTGCTGCGCTAGCTCCTGAGTTACATTCTGGAGGAGCTATTTCTAATGGAAAATGACTAGTTCAGTCCCCATGTATCGTCAGTCATATCTCTGCTAGAAAGCCTGTCAGCCACAGAGGGAATATCTGCCTAATGCAAATCAGCCAAAGCCCCTTACTTGTCACGCACAAGCATCAATTGGATAAGGGTACTTTAGGCTGTAATCAAGGTGTGATCTCTTACTAAAGAGTTCATAACTCTTGGTTAAAGAAATATGAATAGCACCCATTCTCCCCTTCCTTGTCCAGTCCAATAGCAGTTTTTCTCATTATTTCCCTTTTGCCCATCATATGCTCGTAGGCTGGAGATGAAAGGCTGTAAAAGGCTGACAAGTTCAAAAATTTAATCAAGTTCCGTGTCAGCAACAATTCTGGAAAATTGTGCTTTGACCTTTGTGGCAGCACAAACCAGAAACAAAGTTTAAACCTCCTGATTATTTTGTGTCTCCTGATTAATTTTCTTTCCTATTTATGGTCATATCTAAACGAGTGTATGTCCATGTCTCATCTAGTTTTTGGTACTCTGATCTATTTCAGAATTGATTCAGAGTTGTAAACTGAGTGAGACTGGGTTCTGCCAGCTGCTAGTGACTATTTCAGATACTCTCAGGTGCTTCAAATGGCATTAGACATGTTTAAACAAGCAAATCCTGTCTTATATGACAATAAGGCAGATCTGAAATTCAAATATGTTGACCACTTTCTCGGTGTCTGAAGTAGTAAACAGTAAAATACGGTTATGACAGGAACTCAGGAAATCTCACCTAGGGCTGGCAATGTTAGGAATGCTTCCATGTCTGGTCAGTCCGTAGATGCTGCTGTAAATGGAAATACCATACGTGCTCACAGTACAGTACAGGGCTTGGTTGATTCCTCATTACCTGATCCCTAACTTGTGAACAGCGTGTTGATTGGATGACTTTTGGAGATATAACTCTGCATTTGTTTTCTTTGTTTTCCTCACTCTTCAGGAGAAAGCAATTTTGATACCAGCCCTTTGCATTTGTTCATGCACTTCCTGTGATACTTTCATCTGCACAGAATTACAAACCCTCTAATTACAGTTTTTGATCAAAATAACGATTTATGTATAATGCTATTGAGACTCTTTCAACAAGTCTAAGAAAACTACAAGTATCTAAGTGGCATCCTTACATTTTTCATTAAATCTGAATTTAGCATTACAGAAACCCTGAGCCCTCACTTTCTGCATATTGTCCGGAGGACACTTTGCTTGGCTATTGCCTAAAAGTACCAAGGGATCAGGCACTGTGTTCCACAGCCCCAGTGATGTATAGTAAGTGTCAGTGAGAAATGTGCTTCTTTGTAAGGTACGTTTCTCACAATTGGAACAGAAGAGGTCCCAGACTGAAATAGCACTATGAAAATCTCTTGAATAAAATTATGGAGATCACTTGGCTGATGAAACTATTTTAACCAGTGTTAGTATGTTCTTTATTAACATGACGACAAGGTGCAAAAATCTTGAGGGGGAAGTCATTATTATCACTGTTTATACCTGAAGCAGTAGTAAGACCGTTTTGTGACAAATTGCTCATGACATGAAATGAAATTACCTAGAAATATTTTTTTTAAGAGTTAAAATTTAAAGATGAACACTTCATGGGGAAAATAGACTTGACATTCGTGATGTTTTTGAATATGTGTAGGTGACCTTGAAGCCAGAGCAAATGATTCTACCACTGGTGGATGAAAAGCTTCAGCGCAGCACTCTTTCAGGGATTGCATTCCAGCCTCCTGAAATAGTAGCAAATATAGAACAGGTGATGCAGGATCTTCGGTCAGAACCTTTTTACTGGAGACTTCCAGAACAGTTTGAGGGACGAAAGGTAAACAAAATCCCACTGAATACTGGCATGGATTTATATATTATTTTTTTTATCTTATATTTGTATTTCACAATGCCTTTTTTTCCCTTTCAATAAGCATGTCATCATATGGTGGAAAGTACTTCAAAAGAAAATAAATTCCATTCCATTATTAAAAATTACTTGCTCCGTTATCATGGAAATTCATGTCTGTAACATAAACACTATTTAAAAATATGTATTTACATATGTAACGTAATATTCTCCCACAAGATAGATTCTCTCACAAAAATGTTATGTGAAAAATTCAGCTGCATTCATTTAATATAACTATTGTAACTTTTTGTTTCTCTCCATTAAAAAAAAAAAAAGCACCCTTGTAAGTTATACAGGAGAAAATGGCTGAAATAACCTCCCTTTTGGATATTGTTATGTGCCTCTGTGATGATTTATTTTGCACTTTTGATATTTCTTGGTTTGGCTTGGGAAATTTTAGATGTTTCTTTCTCTAAACACAAACTTTGGGGAGCACCGAGGCACATATAAAGAAATACATAACATTTTGGTTTTAGTGTAATACAACAACAAATTTCTGATGGGTATTTTTGAGCACAGCCTTTGTCTCCAGGTAGTTCTACAAGCATGTATTGCTATTTTCTACCTCACGCACATTCATCAGACTGCACACAGGTGCAGAGTGTATCTAGCTCCTACGTATGCCCAGGAATCTATTTCTTTTTTTGTGCTTTGTGTTTTGCTTTGTTAGCTGACCGCTTATGGAGGAAAACTGAAATATGCAATCTACTTTGAAGCACGAGAAGAGACAGGTTTTACTACTTACTACCCACAAGTCATCATAAGAGGTGGGCCTCCCACCCATACAAGAGTTATTGTCCGGCATATGGCTGCCCCTTTGATTGGGCAGCTGACAAGGCACGAGATAGAGATGACAGAGGTAACAATTCCATCCACTTTTTTTTCCCAAAACTTAAGAACCTGGTTCTTTTAAATGCTGTTAATAATCTGGTTTTGTATTACTGTCTTTTAGCATGAATGGGAATATTATGGTGATGACCAAAGACTCAGAAACACTGTGCCCTGGGAATATTATCATGATGACCCAGGTGTCAACAGGACAGTGTCCCAGGCAGATTTCACATGGAAGCCTTATGGAGATGACTCAAGACCAAGTAGATCTGTAACCCGGGAAGACTTCCTGAATGTGTTGTATGATGTACATTACATTCTCATTAAGGCTACTCATGGCAATATCATGAGGCAAAGCAGGTAACTATTTCATGTAGTGGTCTGAAATAGTGCAGAAGTAGTCACAGATAACCTGATAGAGCTTCCCAGCAGAATTTTTATTCATAACATAAGCTATAAACAGTTGCTGAGAAGAACAGAAGGAGTTAGCATTCAGCATAGCAGGAGATGCAGGAGAGGGAAATTTTCTTCTATAGAAAATTTAAATCACAATAGGCAAATGAAGTCCTTATTTTCAGGATCCTAAAATAGAAAAAACATGTAAGCACATGCATCCTGAAACAAACCCAAAGTATTTTTTGAATGAATATCTACTTTATCAAAACACGATGCTGTAATTAAATATAAATGTTAGCATATGAAAGAATTTTCTCTTGCAAGTGGGAAATGAGGTGAAAAGTCAAAGGTGAAAGAGTACTCCTTTAATAAAATGCTACTTAATCCAATATATTAGGGGCAGATATATTCAACATTTTCTATTCAGTTTATTCATTAGTGAATATAATGAAATAAAGGTAATGCTTACTAAATTTGAAGTGAACATCAGACAGCAAGATGAGAGGAATAATACAAAAATCTGTTGCAATCTAAAGGTCAACTATAAGATTTTACACTTTGAAAGGAGTAGTCAATTGAACAAACAAGGAATAAGTGCTTAGTTACCTACTCTTCAAAGAGGGATCTGTTGTTTACAACATACCACCAAGTGAACGTGATTCAATAATGATACCCTTGTTGAGAAATGCCAATATTCTAGCTGCATGTGTAAACAGGTATGGCCTGCAAAGTGCAAAAATGAATCTTTTACTGCTACCCAACACTAGCTAAGCCTAAGCATCAAGTTTTGATTCCTGGAATCCAATAAAAAATTATTAAGTGTTCAGAGGATAATAGTGAATGTCATCACAGGTCAGAAAAGATGACCTGTGAGAGAAGATGTAAAGAATCAGATTTATTTAGAAAGTAGGAATTGCCTTAAGATCCATAAAATGTTGTCATAAAGACAAAGAAAAGAATCAGTTCTCTGTTGCCATAGTGGGTAAGTCAAAAAAAGAAATGAGCTTAAACTTCAGTAGGGAAGATTCACCTTAGATGTGAGAGAAAAATTCCTGGGAGTAAAGAAGTTCTGGAATAGATTATGTAAACTATTCCTAAAAGTTTTTGATTCATAGTATCCCTTGCAAGCAAAATTTGTTAGCAATGACACAGGAATAACTGGAGATAAACTCCAAAGGTCTCCAGAGGACCTTTGTATGATTCTGTCATAAAAGTGATGGGCTAAAATTATTTCTAGATTTCTAGGTCACAAATAGGTCTATAAGAACATGACCTTTGGAGTCTATGATGGTGAATAGTAGGGGCAGATACAATGCAACATTTCAGCATTGCATGACAGAAAACATAGTCGTTGCTCCTGTTGTCTCTATTTAAAGTATATCATTTACAGAAGGTATTCATCCAACTTGCACTGGCTAAATATTGCTAAATATTAACAACAGATGCCATAAATGTTTTACATTGGTTTCATTTATTTTTGGCGTAGTCAATTTAGGATATTGTATTACAAGCACAGGGAATTCCTGTGGAAAGAGATAGGGAAGTAACTCCAGTGTGACATGGAAAATTTAAGAAGCATAGCCATGTTTTGTGTCTTTCTCCCTTCCCTTTATGCACTACAGATCCTACTTCAGTTGTGCAAGCAAAAACTGAGTACTATCTCAGCTAAAGCAGCATAAATTACAAAAATGAACCTCCATTTTCATTATTTTGTTCTGAGGTGCATATGACCATCGTGACTGAACTAGACGGGCGTTGTAATACACCACCGTTTTATCAAGGCTACCTAGTAACGAGGCATATAACAGAATGGAGGAGGACTTTTCAGTTTCAGGGCAGGTTTGCAAGGTGGCACTTAGAGAACCAAAATGTATTTTTACAACATCGCATTTCAGAATGTGACGTTTTATATAACAGCAGGACTTAGCAAAGAGTTCATCTGTTCTTTCTGGTAACTCTCCATCTGGAGTCATAACCTTGTGTATCATGCTGTATTTGATTTTGGAAGTGGTTATGTTACAATAGATTTTTATGATCTGTCTAGTTACATAGTTAACATTCGTCATATGGCATCTGAGACTTTAAGTAGAAAACAAAGAGCAGGAATACATTACTGTTTTTTTCAAGTTAGCACCTTGAATTATTTCAAAGGAATTTTTGCTTAAGACCACAAAATAAATCCCCCAAAATGTTTTTAAAGGTTAGTGGAATATTAGCTTGCATAAGAATTGAAGGCTTTTATTAAAAATACTCTCAGGCGCTCTAAAGGACAACATTTATGCTCAACTTTAAACATATGTTTGAATTAAGTGGCTTATAATAAACCATTTGTTTAAATAGAGTGCGTTGTACTTTCTAAATAAGGTCCCTGTTCTAAACTAATAAAGCTTCTTTTTCTACCTGACTATGCATAGTAGAAAAGTATAAAGCAAAAGAAACTGTGGATGGGAGGAGGAAAGCATTGTATATGAAGTCTTTTAAATTTTTTTAAGGTTTTTAATAGTGCCTTGATTTCAATCGCAGAATTTAAAAGCTGCAGATAAGTGATAAACTACAGGAAAAGCATTTTAAAATAAAGTCAAAGCAGCAGCAGCAGTTGGAAGCATAAAAATAGCCTCGTTCTAGCGTTAGTGCTGTATTAGCTATATAGTTTAGCAGCAATGCTAATGTTGTTTCTGCTTCAAAGCTGCAGCATTACCAGTGATTTAGAGATTTCTGCTCAGAATCCAAAGCCAAACATTTTTCTCCTATATTTTTCATTTTGTTGCCCTCATTTTCACATTCACTGCTCTAAATTGAAACATTTCTTTTATTAGATTTTGTTTTGCTTTTCAGGCAACTGGACTGTGATAATAAATTAGTTTGAATTGGAAGTATGCTTTCAATTTCACTGTGAATTATTTCAATATCCCTGACACTGATCGGGTAGCAGTTGTTGGACTGCTGCCTATTAGACATGTTCCGAGAATCAACCAAGCCTGACCTTCCTTAAGTAGCATTTTCACACAAACAACAGGTAGCTTTGTGGTCCCACAGTATATTATTATGTAAATACAGGTTTCTGACAGTAAATACTTTGCAGCACACAGACCTTTGCCTCAGCCTTGAAGATGACGGGGAGGCAGATTTCATTTTGTTTTTCCATTGAATGTACAGAGATTTCAACGTAAGCTTACATTGATGTATCAGATCTGAATGGGTTTGCCCTCTTCATTTTCAGTCTTATGTTTTGATCTGGCTTTGTTTGCTTGGGTTTTTGGTTTGTTTTTTTTTTGTTCAATTTCCCTGCTCCACTGAACCCCTTTCTTCAGGTAGTAAGAAGGGAGCACAGGGTTTAAGTGACTAGATGATTTGGGGATTTTGCATTGACACAAGGTATCTAGAGGTATGGGTCTGGTCACCTAAGCTCAATCACAAAACTCTCATCTACTTCAGCAGTGAGCGTTCGCTTTTCTTACAGTCGTCCTGACATTGGTGCCTGTATGCCAATGTGCAGAAGAGTGTCACTCAGTCACTCCGTAATCAAGGTTTGGGAGTAGATGAATGGACTCTAAGAATGAGGAGGAGGTTGGCAATATATCTGAAGCTTTAAAATTTACACTCTTCGACCCTTTTTGTTTCTCAAAGACAGTAGCAGCTTCCAGATCACGGCATTCATTTAAAGAAACTAACAAACCCCCCAAATAAAGACGTGAGCTAAAAGAACAGCATTGTGGTACATTAGGATTAAGTGTATATCACTAGATTTTATGTTTGTTGTCTTTGTCCGTGATGTACTCGACGCTATTTGGCAGGTCAGCATGCATGTTGGAAAGACTGGGAGTAGTTGAGAGGCAAGGATATTATTATTAATGCAAGCAAACAAATGTTTGCAAAGTTAAAATATCGGAAGCTTTACAGTGAAATGTATCCCTTTCTGATACTAGCAGATGCTTCTCTACTAGGGTTTCTTGTTTGCTTTAAATTATTTGTTTATGTGTCTAAACAATATTAAGGGAGGGAAAAAAAGGATATCTTGCTACAGATCTGAAAATTCCTGCTAAAATGGCAAATGTCCAATGTCTTTGAAGTCTGTCTAGAGCTTGTTAGGTTGCTTTAGTTGCTGAGGATAGATTTTACTTTTTTTTTTTTTAATGTTGCCTCATTAAAAGCTCATTTAGTGAGCAATTTTATTGCCGTACCTATGAGAATCATGAATTGGAACTGCATTTAGTATGTGACTTCAACTTCTTAATGAGTACCTCCAAAAGAAAGATCAGATATGAGCTTTTGTTAATAGTTTGGCTGAAAAGAGATTAAAAAAAAAAAAAAGATAGCATCAAGCAGGAGAGAAAAGTTATACTATTGCCTAGAAATGGAAAATGAGACTGGTGGCGGTAGTAGCTTTGTTGTTGCCTTAGGAGAGGCAAAAATAGTGCTGTTTGTCTGCTGTAGATCAGGAAGCCTACAAACAGCCAAATAAGACCATTTTCTCCCATGTCAGCTGACTGTGAACTAACTGGGTTTGAATTAGTGCTTGACTAATCTCATTAGAGATGTTTCCTCCTTTCTTTCAGGATTTCTGAGATCTCAATGGAAGTTGCTGAAGGTGGCGCTGTGTCTGGGATGACTCCTCAGGCTCACTTGATTGAGAAATGCGACTGCCCATTGGGTTATTCCGGTTTGTCCTGTGAGGTACAGTACTAACCTGACTTCCAGTAAAAGTCTTTACACCTTCTGCAGTCCGTTCATTAGTAAGGTGTGCTAAGCAATTAGACTGTGAATTCATTTAAATGGCAACAACTCTCCCTTAATTTAATTAATTACACTTTTTCTCTCTCAGGTGTCTCTCTCATAAGAAATTTAAGCACTTCTTTTCGCTTTAGGCAAATATGCCACTGAAACCATGGGTATAACTCAAATACTTAGAATACAGGAAAGTGAGTTTTCCCAGGTCAGCATCTCTGAGGCTGAATTGCATGACTGATGCTGATTGATCAAGCCAGTTTGGACAGATAAGGGTATAATACTATTGCAAGGTACTGTGTACAACAATGTTGTCATGTTATGGTAAGGCCATAATACACAAAACGGTTACAATATCTTATCTTCCAAAAGGCTGATCTGTATGCCTCATTTTATCATGACCACAATTCACAGAATCTGTGGAGAAAAACACAGAAAACCTCTATGTCAAATTAAAAAAAAACACCACACCACAATTGATTCTATAAATTATTGATAGTTCTAAGTGAACTACAAATTAACATTTGTAATAGTGAATAATTAAAGGTTACATACTGCTAATTCCTGAAAAACTAAAGATCTGTCAGCTGACTGAAATTCACCAAATAAAGTATAAAAACAAATTTGAAAACAACAAAGTTAAAAGAACATTACTAAAATTGTAGCACCGAGCACTCTAAACAGAGCCATGCAGAATTTTAAAATTCTATTCTGTAAAGGCTTTCCAGATTTTTAAGTTTGCCTTGTTTGACATTTAAATTCCCATATAAAGTCCTAATAGCTGTATGACTGATTGAAATATCTTGTTTTAAAAAAAAGCTAAGCAGCATTTCAATTTTGATTTCTTAAATGTTTTATTATAATGAATAACTCAAATAACAGCAAAATTTAAAAAGATAAGTCATTTCAAAAACAAAACTTGAAATAGGGTCTTCTGAGCAGTTGCTCAAAAAGGCAATTCATAGTTGAGAACCTGTAGGTTCCTCACATTGATCTTTCCTCTTGAAATGGTTCCAATAGCATGCCTGTGCGGACCAACACTAATAGGATGGAGGTTGTCCATTTTGTTTTCATTTTGCATGCTTGACTGCTCAAAAAAGCACTGCAAATGCATTAAAAATGGAGATGAGAACCATTCTGAAGCATGTCTATGCTTCATGAAGCAACCTTCATGGGAGATGTTTTTAAAAGCTTTATGAAATGTCATACTGCACATGTTCAAACTGTCGGTTTTCTGAATACTTATAATTTATCCAAGTGGATCTATGAAAATGCATTGAAAAGGTCTGCCGAGTTCTGGCAAATATCTTTCCATTTTACTCCCCCACAATTATTCTTCTTCCAGTGCTGGTGTATGACTCCTGTAAGAAGATCTTGCACAAAACCTTGCTTCCTGTCAAATTTCAGTACTCCTTATATAAGCGAGGGACCTGCTTGTGAAGAGGAGCAGCAATTTTGGAACACGGTCCAAATAGTGTATTTTGCTTTATTCTTAGAAGCAGTTGAATCACTGTGTCTTAAAATAAAATATAACAAAATAGATCTGCAGTAATGGAATCTTTTGTCCTGAACCGTTGAAGTTTGGTAAATTTCTAACTCATTGAACACTGGGAGAAAAGTATTGGTCAACTGAGTGGGCTCGGTGCTCCTTATACCTGTACTATATTTATTTTTTTGCTTATCTAAATATTTTTGTGCTGAAGATTGCAAGTTTCAAAATGCCCAAAATCAGCTGTCTTGTATGCTTTTGTAAAATGTATCTTATGATAGGTACCAGAGAAAGTGCTTAAGATGGAACAGTTTGACTGCAGAACAGAAGTTAATATTTTTGACTGTATGTGCTCTTGATGATAAGAATCATAGAATCATAGAATTGTCTAGGTTGGAAGAGATCCTTGGGATCATCGAGTCCAACCATCTACCCTACTCTACAAAGTTCTCCCCTACACCATATCCCCCAACACCACATCTAAACGGCTCTCAAACACATCCAGGGATGGTGACTCAACCACCTCCCTGGGCAGCCTATTCCAATGCCCGACCACTCTTTCTGTGAAAAATTCTTTCCTAATCTACCCTGTTGGAGCTTGAAGCCATTCCCTCTCGTTCTGTCATTAATTATCTGTGAGAAGAGACCAGCACCAACCTCTCTACAGTGTCCTTTCAAATAGAATGGCAGTCTTTCTATGTGCAAACCAGCATGTTATTATTATTAAGAAGGAGCAGCAATTCTAAATGCCTTTGTTGCAATTGCTAGGTGGAGGTAACAGGGAGGAACACCTCGAGCTTTCTGCAAATCCCTGAGACATCCTGATTATGTGGAATCCTGTAAAGGGTTCCCACAAGCTAGCAGTAGGAGGAAATTTTGAGTGAGTAAATGAAGGGAAAGATGCTTTGTTATCTGCAAGAACTCTGCTCCCTTCAGATGTTATATGTGATTGTGTTACACAGCAAATGATGCAACAGGAACAGGGAGTCCATAGGAAATGCGTGCAAAGAAGTGAATGAAGTCATTTTCTTTGCACACTGTTCTGATAACAGCATACGCCTGAATGGCTGTAAATACATGTATGAGAAATTAACAGGTCCCAGCATTTGCTCAGAAGTACAGATTATTTTTTTTTTTAAATTACTGCAACAAATTGATTTTTTGAAGGAAAAAATATGATAATGTAATTAGAACTTTATTTTAATTCACACCTACCAAGGGCTGGAATAAATGTCTCAGTTGCAACCTCCATACTTTGTGCTTAATTGTGCAATCTTCACATGCTTGTAACTTAGTTTATTTTTAGTGTGCTCAGTGAAGGTTATAGTGTGTTCTGTGAAGGTTTATTTAATTTCGGCAAGAGGAAAAAGCATCAGATACCCAGGCATTTTTAAGCAAGTGCTAACAGGGTATGTGTATCTATTTCATGATTTACCCTGTAATTGCATTGTGAGAACTATATGCACAGCAGTTTTTACTGGAAGTGACATTTATATCCTTTTTTTTTTTTTTTTTAATCCAGTAGCAGGCTGAAAAAACAGCAGTAAGAGTTTCCCTAACGGTTACTTCTGAAAAACTTCCAAACTAGTAATGAAAAATGTAGTCTGCTTCATCTTTTGTTGTATGTCCCATTTCATCTCAGAAATGCTTAGATCAAAATAGATGAGAAGAGTGTCAATAGCATATCAGAAAAAAACAGTTAGAGATTAGATTTTTTTTGAGGATGTACCATATATTTATACTCTGATCCTAAAGTTACTCAGAACTTGTAAAGCTGTGCTTGGTACCATTTTGTGCTTGGACAAGGACTCTTCTGGGGATGGAGAGGGAGGAAAAAATTATGAACTTGTAGTAAGAAAAAAAATTACTTTCATTTGAGATTATTTATCTAAATTGGAATTCTTCACAAACCATGAAAAAGCAGATAGACTGTTTCTATGCTTCAGGGATCTTAACGCAGTCTAAGTCAAAATAAAAGGGGAAGAGCAGAAGTGAGTTAGATTACTTTCTTTGTGATTCTAAAGAAAATAATTGTGTTTATGCTTTTTCCATAACTTAGACTCCTGGAGGTTTTGGCAATGATTATAAAACTGTCAGAGTGGTGTCGTATGAATAGAATCTAGCACGTCAGTCAGTGCTTGACTGAAGAATCTTCCTTTTGATCACGAAAAGTTACTTATGCCAGATTCTCTTTTGTTTTATTTTGCATCCATTTTATTGCTGTGTGAAAAGCGTACTGTTCACATTCTTTCCAAAAAGCAGAAATTGTGGTCAACCGTAGGAAATGACCTCATCAGACAGCACCACTAGGTGGTGGGATTTATACATGGGACGAGTGACTTCTCTATATGCACTTACCCCTAATGGTCTGAACTATCAAAATGGTCCTGTTTGTATTTTTATGCTGCCATAGCTGTGTGCTTTCTGGGAGCTATGTAGACACTTTCATGCATTTGCATAATAAGTGTGGAATAAAGATCAAGTGCTTGATTTTGCATGTGTCAGCTTTGCTAGTAATTTTTGGGTTGCTCTCAGAATTTTATTGCCAAGCTGGGGTAGAGGAGACTTAGTGATAAATAAATTTGATTTGGGGCTAATAGTCCCAAGACATGTAAAACCTTTAATATTTTGAATTCTTTACTTTTATGGTCTTTAAATTATATAGCTATAAATAATGCAGCCGTGCAGACAGTTTTTTGATTATTAACATTCGGTTTTTGCTTGTTATCCATCAGGCAGTATGTAGGCAGATATTAGCTTGTCAAACCTGAAAAATTCACCAAGGGCGAAGAAAACAGAATCATAATGCTTGCTCTCCACAGTCCGTGCAAAAAATTTATTTCGAAAACAAACCTTACTCTTAAGAAATGAAAGGAATGATGCTTGATGCACAGGGAGAACAGTGAGATGTTCTGCATCTGAATGAAAGGTCTCACAAGCTGTAATATGAAAAGCCCGGTGCCAGCGGAGTGCTCCAGGGATTTTTCAGCAATGTTTCCAATTAGGGCTGGCTCTTGTTTTCTGTAAAGTACTGTATATTGTTTGTAACACAGCTGGAAGCCTGTCAGGTTCTTTTCACAACTTGTAAAAACTGGTGATTGGAAAGATGAGCTTGCAATGCTCCCCACTCCTAGTCCACTCTGTAATGATCTGTTTTCTTCTGCATCTATTCTGTTGCAGTCATGCTCTCCAGGATTTTACAGGCTTCCATCTTCACCTGCAGGAAGGACACCTGCTCAGCCCTTAGGTGCCTGTGTTGTATGTCAGTGTCATGGACACAGTACTATGTGTGACCCTGAAACGTCCATTTGTGAGGTATTATATTTCTGAACTTCTGTACTAGGTTAATCTTAGTGTAAAATTCTTAAGTTGTGTAACTGATCTAAAAAACCAGAGGACAATATTTTAATCCAATTTTGCTTAAATAGCTTAAGTGTCAAAGTTAAAGGGGGGTCAAAAAAGCAAACCATTTACCTTTACATTTTTCAATTCTGCTTTTCTAGAGTTCACATTATGCAGTGTTTTATTGCTGCTGAATTACTCTTTGTGTAAAAAGGAAAACTAAATATCTGCAAACTAAATAAGCAATGTAGCATGTGTCGTGCCATAAACACAACACTGCTGTTATAGGTAACAATACATGTGACCTGATACAGTAGGATTGAATTTTAATTGATTATTTCTCCTGCTTCAATGGCTGGAACAAAAGAGGGAAGGAAGGATGAATGGGATAAGAAATTCTGTGGTATACATCTGGCTAGCTACAGGCCTCCATTCTTTCTCCTTGTAAACCCATATATAACCCAGCAGGCATTTGATAGATGCTTAAAGCAAGCAGTCCCACTGCGAATCATATCAGAGAGAGAGAAATTATGAATTGAAATAAGTTTGAATCCCTGAGGCTGGGAACAAAATGTTGCCTGCTTTCCTGTAATTATCAAATACAGTTTTCGTTCTGTCTCCTTCCTCTGCAGAATTGTCAGCACAATACTGCCGGTCACCACTGTGAGAGATGTGCCCTGGGATTTTATGGCATTGTCCAAGGCTCTCCGGATGACTGTCAGCCTTGTGCTTGTCCGCTATCCGTTGCTAGTAACAAGTAAGTAAGCAAACTCATGATGAAGAATTACCTTTCCAGCAAGCAAGAACTTTGGTTTGGGCTCACTGTGTCCTTTTTTCAGATAGCTACTGGAGCACTGCATGATGTAAGCCATACTAAAAACTTTCATATCTACTTTTGCTAATTGATCTTCCTTTAAAAGTCAGAAATTGCTCCCTTGCTAATTTGTGATGAATAAATTAATAAATGCTAGAAAATGCAATACTCAACAGATAATGAATGTGTGTTATAAAGGTATTCCCACAAATGAAGCTAGAGCAGAACTCAAGTACAATATAGCCACAAGGGAGCTGTAAAAAGTCTTATGCTCATATATTATGTTGGTATAAATGTGTTACAGTGCCTTTCTTGCTCCACTGTGGAATTTATTGATTCCTTATTTAATGTTACATGAGTTTTAGGCAATTTGTGAAAGATAGAATAATTTAAAAGCAATACAGTTATTGCAGCGTAAATTTTATCGGTTGCTTTATGCTAATGAGCCTTGCCACGATGTCTCCACATGTGTTCCCAACAGATGATACTTTAGCACTTGAGATTTGTTTGTTGTTTTGCTGAGAAGCTCTTAATGATATTTGGAATCATACCATAGCACTATTCTGAAAAGGTTTGTGTTTCATTATCATACTCTTGAAAGGTTGGAAGTGTTCCTTAAAATAATTTTTCTGTGCTTTGTCTGACATTTAGGATGTTTTAGAGAGTATTTCAGCCAGTATATCTGGGAGGTTTTTTTTTTCCCTTCTTCCTATCTTCCTAAGCTATCTCATTAGCTTATTATGTCATGACTGACATGATAATATTTGTGAATTAGTATAGTGCAATTATTTATGAAATTTTACAAAACTCCACTAAGGTTTTAAATACTGTTTTCACACTCCTGTACAATCAGCAGTGAGCTTCAAACGTGATGAGCTGAAAAAAAAAAAAAAAAAGAACAGAGAGAATGAGTTTTTCCTGGGGGGGTGGATCTATTTTTATAGAGTTGAAAATGTGTTGGATAATGAGTTTGTGAGTAATAGATCAATTTGTTTACACTTTTTTGCAAAGGTGCAATTTTATATACTCATTCAAACACTATTGACGTAATGCATTATAAGCAGGTTAGAGTAGGGTGCTGACTGTACTTTACCAAGAAGGAGCTGTGGGCTCCCCTCTTCTTCCATAAAGAGCTGAAAGAGTTTTACAATATTGCACCATTTTAATATTTAGTTGTGTTTCTTTTCCCCTACATACCTTTTTTGTTTAACTGTCTGTGCAGGCACTTAATGCACTAATATTCCAGCAACATATTGCTTTGCACAGTTCCCATAGGCACACACTGCAGTCACTAGTTATTCATCTATGTCATGGCTTAGTAAAAATAATCTAGTGCCTTCCATGATTAAAACCTCTCCCCAACCATGAAGAAGGTAGCTTTCAGGTTTTTTTTTCTCTATAGGCCAGTCTTTTCTCTTCAGTATGTCCTTGAGAAGATCATCTGCCTTTTTGGAAGATTCCACATGGCTATGACTTTGGTTCCTTTCTCCCTCTTTATGTCTTGCCTTTGAGTAAATTCTTCCCAGCTTATCTCCTTTTATTCAAACTAAAATTAAATCAGACTGGAAAGGCTGGATGTTTGTTAGCTCATTTTCCTAATCTTTTGTTTCACATTCTTCCCGTTACTTCCTTTTCTTGATCACTGGGAGTGACAGCACCATTCAATCACACAAGCCTACAGCATAGGTATTGTTGACTCTGATATGACCCTCCATGATTCTGCCCTTCAAGTATTTGCCTAAATTGTGCCAGTATTACAGCTAGGCATTCACAAAATTTTTAATAGAAAGGAGAGATCTCCCACGTGTGTTTATAAACAGATAAGCCATTTACATTAAGAGTGGAGCTTACTGTGGGACTTCTGCACAGCTGACTAGAGTGAAATGATGCACTGGAGTGGAAAAGTTTTTTATTTGCTTTTGTTTTAGTTTTAGCCCTTCTTGTGTTGCTGAAGGATCTAGTGATTACCGGTGTACTGCATGCCCACCTGGATATGAAGGCCAGTACTGTGAAAGGTAGGATGAATGGAAAAAGAAGAAAGAGGGACAATGAAAGGCAAGCAAGACATGAAGTATGAGCAATGTCCTTTGGTACTATAAACACGTATTTACTAAAGTTTAAATACATGCCTTCAGATAAGTTATTTTCTCTTTATATGTTGTTAAAACTTAGCCATAATAGGCAATTTTTATGTATACCCACTGTAAATTGGTAATCAGTATTGTTTATATCAGATATTGTCCTAGTCTTACTTTCTGATTTGTGGAATTTTTTTTTTTTTTCCCCTGGGCCTCAGAAGTTAAAGTGAAAAATATGAAATGTGTCTAAAATTAGACACTTATAGTGTGTCTTGAGGTCACTCATACCCTTTGTTCTAGTGACTATTGTGTCTTCATGGGCACTGACTTTGAAAGACACCTGTACATATATTAATGACCAAATTGCAAATTAATAACCTAAAGAGCAGCTGTTGTCACATCTGTAGCAATACTGTAGGATTAAGATGATGAAAATTAGCAAGTGTCTGCTATGAGATTCCACTTCTAAAGCAAAACACAAGTGGCTAGTGGGAAAAAAGAAGGTCTATAGACCAAACATTTTTCATGTAGAAACTTTTTTGTCATGGTATAATAGAATTTTAACTGAAGGGGTGTGGAATCACTTTTGCGTACTCCTTTCATCCAGACTGTTCCATGTCCTGGTTAAAAGTTATTATCAGTTTGTTGGACAGTTTGCAACATTTCTCACTCTAAAAATGCATACAGAGAGATAAAGCATCAAAAATTTTTATTAATGCTTCATGAATAAATGTTCATATACATTTTGTTTACTGTCTTGCCAAGTATTCATTGTAGTCTCATGTATATGCGTCTCAGTTGGCCAAACCTGGTTTTCTATTTGCAATGTCTAGATGTTCTTCTGGCTACACGGGCAACCCACAAGCTCCAGGAGGCTCCTGCCAGGAATGTGAGTGTGATCGATATGGTGCCGTGCCTGTTCCCTGTGACCCTGTCACTGGACAGTGCACTTGCAAGCCTGGATTCACAGGGTGGAAGTGTGTTGGCTGTGAACATCGGCATGCACGTGATGGCATGAAATGCATTTGTACGTATACTAATGTAATTTTGGAGAATTTTTGATTGTGTCTGTCATATATCAGAAATTCAACCCTGCTTTGTGCATCAGTTAGTTGTGCGGGTTTCTTTGACAATAGTTGCCAGGTTTCTTACCACTTTCACATTCTGGTTCATTTTTTTCACAAGCCTTGAGATGTTAGGAAAACTCTCAATATTTTCTTAATATGCTTACTGAAAATTGACAACAAAGCTTTGAAGGATTTCTTTTTGTGGGTTTTTAAAGTCTGTAGTTTTACTAAAGGTTGTCACTGCTGTTGTGACAATATTTACTCTTAGTGAATTTTTAGTGTTGTCCTAAAAGTTTAACCAGCAATTGCAATGCTTTATGCCATAGGTCACACAAAGAGTTTTTACCAAGGTTTGCTTGGTCATGTTGGTTCAACAACCACCCACTGGAATTTAAAAGACACAAGGAATGTCAGTGTAATATAAGCAGGAACAAAGAACTTCGTAGAATCACAGAAGGGTCAGGGTTGGAAGGGGCCTCTGGAGATCATCTAGTCCAACCCCCCTGCCAGAGCAGGGTCACCTACAGCAGATTGCACAGGATGGCATCCAGGCAGGTTTTGAATGTCTCCAGAGTGGGAGACTCCACAACCTCTCTGGGCAGCCTGTTCCAGTGCTCTGCCACCCTCAAAGTAAAGTTCCTCCTCGTGTTAAGATGGAACTTCCTATATTCAACTTTTTTTTAAAAATAGAAAAATAACAGCCTAAACCACCAAGTTACATTTACAGTACTGGTATCTTTGCCCTACCTTCAGTTTTCATATGTACCAAATGTCTTGTCTTTTATTATTGTTTGGAATTTTTTTTTCCATGAAATTGGATAGTGTTTGTTTTGAGGCCACAACCTCATTTCCCATGATATTGTATGCTTATGTCTTATCAAAAAAATTCAGGTAGCAAAACCTTTCTAGAACACTTGGTAAATCCTGGCTGAAATAAGGCATTTTCCTCCATCTCCCCCAGCTGAGTAGGAACTAATTTTATTGAGATCTTTGGGGTTTTTCTCTCGAGCCCATCATTGCTCATTTTAAAGTAAAGTGCAGATAGGGATCCAGTAAGTCCACAGAATATAATATTTCTTAATATGTGCATCTTTGAATATATTGGCAAGGCACAATGAACTTGTTTTAATGTTTTACCTGATTTTTATCTGTTATAGGACTTTAATTGTAGCTTTTTAATTTTGGGTTGGGTTTTTTTTTTTTTTTTTGCCTATGTGAGGCAAGGAGATACCAAAAAAAGACTCTTCTTTTTCTTTTTTCTTTTTCTTCACAGAATACATTCAGTCTTTACCTCAATACCCAGAGGTGTATAGCTTTCTAATATTAAAATCAGCTAGTACAGCTCAAACAAATTGCAAACATTTTAAAAGCAGATTGGAAAAGTAAGGAAACTGAAGTAGTGCTAAAAATGGTTGAAGGTATCATATCAGTCAAGAATGAAATGCGTGGCTTCTTGAAGTGGTTAAAGAGGAAGACAGTAGGCAGTACGGTCATGGACTACACAATGCAGAACATTGTTTCACTCAATTGTTGTGATCAGCTGTCAGAGTGATCGGGACAGGGAACTAAGCTTCTAAATGTGAATGTTGAGTTCAGTGCTTTTGTGTTACTCCTGAGACACTGAAGTGCTGGAGGATGCCCAGAGAAGGGCAACAAAGCTGGTGAGGGGTCTGGAGAACATGTCTTCTGAGGAGCGGTTGAGGGAACTGGGTTTGTTAAGTCTGGAGAAAAAGAGGCTGAGGGGAGACATTATCGCTCTCCACAATTACCTGAAAGGAGGTTGCAGCGAGGTGGGGGTTGTCTCTTCTCTCAAGTTACAAGTGATAGGGCAAGAGGAAATAGCCTCAAGTTACGCCAGGGGTGGTTTAGCTTAGATATTAGGAAAAAATTCTTCACTGAATGGGTTATCAAACATTGGAACAGGCTGCCCAGGGAAGTGGTGGAGTCGCCATCCCTGGAGGTATTTAAAAGACAGGTAGATGTGGTGCTTAGGGACATGGTTTAGTGGTGGATTTGGCAGCGTTAGGTTGATGGTTGGACTCGATGATCTTCAAGGTTCCTTCCAACCTAGATGATTCTATGATTCCCAGGTACAACTCTTCTTTGAAAAAGAATAGAGAGATTAGTGGCAATATAGACACAAATACTTCTATATTATTAATAATATGGCATTGGTTCATAGAATCATAGAATGGTTTGGGTTGAAAGAGACCTTAAAGATCCTTGTCCTGGCTTGAGGCAATCATCTAGTTCCAATCCCCTGCCATGGGCAGGGACAGCTTCCACTACACCAAGTTACTCAAAACCCTATCCAACTTGGCCGTCAACACCTCCAGGGATGGGGCATCTACAACCTCTCTGTTCCGTTGTCTCAACACCCTCACAGTACAGAATTTCTTCCTAATACCTAATCTAAATCTACCCTCTTTCAGTTTAAAACCATTACCCCTCGTCCTATCACTCCACTGCCTGACAAAGAGTCCCTCCCCAGCTTTCCTGGAGGCTCTCTTTAAGTACCAGAAGGCTTCTAGAAGGTCTTCCTGGAGCCTTCTCTTCTCCAGGCTGAGCAACCCCAACTCTCTCAGCCTGTCTTCATAGGAGAGGTGCTCCAGCTATCTCATCATCTTTGTGGCCCTCCTCTGGACTCACTCCAACAGGTCCATGTCTTTCCTATGTTGGGGGCCCCAGAGCTGGACTCAGTACTCCAGGTGGGGTCTCACCAGAGTGCAGTAGAGGGGCAGAATCACCTCCCTTGACCTGCTGGCCATGCTGCTTTTGATGCAGCCCAGGATACATGCCAGGTCATGTTGAGCTGCTTCTCATCAACCAACATCCCCAAGTCCTTCTCCTTAGGGCTGCTCTCAATCCATTCTCTGCCCAGTCTCTCTTTCGGCTTGGGATTGCCCTGACCCACATGCAGGACCTTGCACTTCGCCTTGTTGAGCTTCATGAGGTTCACATGGGCCCACCTCTCAAGCCTGTCCAGGTCCCTCTGAATGGCATTCCTTCCCTCCAGAGTGTTGACCACACCACATAGTCTGGTGGTGTTGGCAAACTTGCTGAGAGTGCACTCAAACCCCCTGTCCATGTCACCAACAAAGATGTTAAACAGCACCGGTCCCAATACCGACCCCTAAGGAACGCCACTTGTCACTGCTTGCCACTTGTACATCGAGCCATTGACCTCAACTCTTTGAGTGCAGCCATCCAGCCAATTCCTTCTCCACTGGGTGATCCATCTGTCAAATCCACGTCTCTCCAATTCAGTGACAAGGATGTCATGCTGGACAGTGTCAAATGCTTCACAGAAGACCAGGCTAGATGATGTCAGTTGCTCTTCTCTTATCCACCAAAACTGTAACCTTGTTGTTTCATGTTAACTGCAGCCCAGGCTACCCTCGAGCATCACATTCCCCACCAGCTGCTCTTTGTTGGTGAGAACAAGGTCCAGCATAGCACCTCTCCTCATTGGCTCCTCTATCACTTGGAGACGGAAGTTATCATCAATGCATTGCAGGAACACCTGGATTGCTTATGCCCTGCTGTGCTGGCCCTCCAATAGATAGCAGGGTGGTTGAAGTCCCCCATGAGGACCAGGGCTTGTGAATGTGAGGCTGCTCCTATCTGTCTATAAAGGGTCTCATCTGCTCAGTCTTCCTGGTCTGATGGCCTGTAGCAGACCCCCACTGTAATGTCACCTGTCTCTGCCCTCCCTTTAATCCTGACCCATAAGCTCTCGGTGGGCTCCTCATCCATGCCCAGGTGGAGCTCCATGCACTCCAGCTTCTTATTGACATAGAGGTCAACACCCCCTCCTTGTCTCCCCTGTCTGTCCTTCCTAAAAAGCCTGTATTTTTCCATTCCAACACGGCAGTCATAGGAGCCATCCCACCACATCTCCATGATGCCAATGAGATGACAGCCTTGAAGGTGTGCACATATCTCTAACTCCTCTTGTTTATTCCCATGCTATGTGCATTTGCACAGAGGCATTTGAACTGGGCCCCGATAAAGCTAACTTACTAGCTGGAGTGGCTGGAATTCCTTTGTGCTGCACTCCAGGTGCTCTCCTGCTGACGTGAGATCCTTCTCCAGGCTCTGGTCATTTATTGCTGGCACTGGCACCAAACTGGTAGGAGTGAGATGGAATGCGGTCCCCCCCCCCTGGCTCCTTTAGTTTAAACCCCTCTTCACGACCTTGGCAAGCCTCTGACCAAAGATGCTCTTCCCCTTCTCTGACAGATGGACCCCATCAGCCCCCCGTAGACCTTGTCTCTCAAAGCGAGTCCCATGCTGTCCCTTTTGATTGATGAAATGCTTAGCATACTTAAGGGACTTAATTCTGAACTATCACATATCTTAAGCTCTATTTTAAACTACAGCAAAATGGTTGCAAATGGAGTAAGTAGCTATTTTGCTGAGATAACTATGCTTTGGATTCCATTTTGCCTACTTGTCACGGGGTATTGTAGTCATGAGTTAAGTCCATAAGTGTTACAAGCTAAAAAATTTTAAAATAAGGACTGTGATTTCCAGAGTGGCATCTAAATGAAAATGACTTAATTTTTCAACATCCTGAATATGTGGTACGTTATTTCCAGTGCTAGCCATTATTTTCAGTCTCAGTCACTGCTTAGTATGTTTATTACTAGTCATTTACCTTATCAATATTCTGAAAAGTCTTTTGGATATCCAGGATGGTAGTTTCTTTGTACAAAACAGCTTAAGTGCAAGTTTTCATTTGTAATGGTTTTCCAATTTTTTAATCAGACTATTTCATTGTGTGGGTAATAAGGTTAAAAATCCTCACTATGAATGGGAAAAGCTGTGTGCAGGCAAATCAAATTTTCCACCTTTTTGCTCTGAAAGATGTGGTTCACTATAATCTCTGATTTAACTGCAACATATCCCTGTGCCAGTGTTGAAATGTATCTACACTACCTGTAGCAGAATTTTACTT